AACTTAATTTCATCTCTACTGACCCCAGAACATACTGATGTTCTAGGGTCTGTTGTTAAAGAGGTCTGGTATCCTAGTGCAAAGCGAGGTGCTGAGGCCCAGGTTGCTCTGCTTTGAAACCACTCTGTGTATTAAAGGGAGAGCATCCTCACATGGGTGCTGCTGTTGTCCAGGCATGTGATGGTTGAGATCTTGCACTTGGCATGATTCTGGCTTTACCTATAGCTCCACCATAGAGATAATTTATATGATATTAACAAAATATCTGCTGCTGCTTTTCGTGTAATTTCGTCCACTAAAGCTAAACCATATAGTATTTGTTCATCCTGCTCTTCAGATCTTATGACGAACAAAATGTTATTGCCCCGCACCAATGAAAAAATACAGATAGTAAACTTCCTCTGTAGTGCAGAGTTTGATGTATTTGAGGTATTTCTTGCAGCACGTATAGAATTGCCATTGGCTTTTCCTGTGTTTAACATCTGACAACATGAACTACTATCAGACAGACATCTGAAACACTGCAGAAGAAGATGAAAAAGAGGCAAAAAATGTTAAGATCAGTGTGACAGGAAGTGTACTTTTGAGTCTGTTCTGTGTTAACCAATCAGATGCTTCAACCAATCAGATGCTCTAACAAACAAGCACATGTCACCTCTTAAACCTACTGAAATGCCTCAACAAGGACCAGTGTCAAGATGGTATTTGTTTCTCTCCATGAAGGCTGTAAGGGCTTTTTTATTTCTTACTCTGGTCACATGTTTGAAATATAATTATTTATGTTGATTTGTGTGTGTGTGTGTGTGTGTGTGTGTGTGTGTGTGTGTGTGTGTGTGTGTGTGTGTGTGTGTGTGTGTGTAATAACACACATTGGAATATGTTGGAATATTTTCCCCTCATGATTCTTCTTTCTATGTTTTGTTTTCACTCAGATTCTCTGGTTCCAGTGAAAACCGCTCATCTTGGTGAAGCAGCAACTTTAACATGTGCTAGAACTACTAAAGAGATCAGCAGTAGAGTCCAGTGGTACAAGCAGAGTGTCGGAGATGCTCTTAAATTAGTTGTTACATTTTATGGAACTACACAACCTGTTTATACTCCAGAGTTTCCTGAATCAAGATTTGAGGCAAAAATTGATAAACATTTTGACAACCTGACGATTGTGAAGACAGTCCAAGAAGATGAGGGCTGCTATCACTGTGAGCAAGGCAGTTGTGTTAGTGGTGAATGGAGCAGGATGTATTTGTTAGTAAAAGGTATTCAACTGTTCTACTTTTACAAACATTTTAAAAATCTCTGAGCATGTTTTGAAGAATGTCTTTGTGTTTTGTATTACACAGGAAACACTCAGAGGTCATCAAACTATATCGTTGTCCAAAAGCAGATGGAATCAAATCCAGTCTATTCAGGAGACACAGCGACTCTCGAGTGTTCAGTCTTCTCTGATTCTGAGAACAAGACGTGTCCAGGACATCATAATGTTTTCTGGTTCAGAGCAGGATCTCATCCAAACATCATCTACACTGACGGGAAAAGACATAATGAATATGAGATCAGATCTAACCCTCAGAAAAGATGTGTTTATCGCTTCTCTAAGAGCGTCAGCTCCTCTGATGCTGGGACTTACTACTGCGCTGTGGCCGCATGTGGGGAAATAATATCTGGAAATGGAACTATACTTAATATTCAAGGTACCTGTGCCTGATTTTGTCTCCCGTACTGGAAGTTATACTCCAAACATGTTTTTAAGAACTGATTTTTTTTTGTTTGTTTTGTAGAGCAAACAACACAACCAGTATTTATTCAAATGACAATAGTAATAGCCTGTTTGGCTGTTTCTGTTATTGGAAACGTTTTCTTCATCTGCAACCGAAGGATATGTAAAAAATGTAAAGGTAAGCATTATCAGTGGTTCAACATTCATGCATTTTAAAAACATAAAACCAATTCAACTTTAAAATCATAAGGAAAAATTATTGAACCGACTGATGACAATTTTTTTATGGATTATGCTCCAGAGTGGGTATCATATCTTTGTGAAACTTCAGTAACTGCAGTAAATTGAGAAGGCAATGTCTCATTAAGTGTATTTCACTATCATATATTTATCATGATAATATTTTTTTTATGTCAAGGAATAGGAAATGCTGTATCGAAAGTACAAACTGACAACTTGCACCAACCAGTAAGTAATGAAAATGATGCTATAATTTAGTTTAAATATGTCCAAAGATTTTTGTATCTTCATCTAAACTACTTTTTTATTTGCTTTTTGTTACTACGCAGACTGAAGCTGATGATGATATAAACTATGCTGCACTGAATTTTTCTGCTAGAGAAACAAGAGCAAGAAGGGCAGAGTTTGCTGAGAACCGTGTGCTCTCTATGTTGAGTTGAATGCTAAAGGAAATGTTGAGCATGTCCTGAATTTTAAAATAAACCTCACATTGTGTTACAGATCCCATGCCTGCTGCTTTCTGTTTTGTTTTTTTATAAATTAATATAATTAATAATATGATCAAGTGTTTATGTCTATTATGTGTATTGTTAAACTTAAATGTAAAAGTATAGGTTCAGGAAACATGAGCTTTGTTTTACTCTAAAGCAGGGGTCTCAAACTCGCGGCCCACGTGCCATTTACGGCCCACGTCACCTCTACTTGCGGCCCGCATATTGATGT